TGCACATAGCCGTCACTAATATTTGATTAGTGTAAACTAGAAGCAATGTAGCTAGTCAGTATCACCAACCACCAACTCTTCGTGGCCATTCTTGTTTAAATGAATAGTAGGATTTTACCATCACTCTTTTTTTTGTACTTGAATTTTTGTATTCATGGCAAATCTACAACGGCTATCTGCCGCTGTCCCTAATTTTGAGCTACTGATAAGAGGGAAGGCATCCATTAAGCAGCATTCTACCATCCATCGGCCCAGCATGGCCAGGTGGTTAAGGCACTCGACTCGCAATCTGAGGGTCGCGGGTTCGAATCCCTGTCACACCAAACATGCTCGCCCTTTCAGCCGTGCGGGCGTTATAATGTGACGGTCAATCCCACTATTCGTTGGTAAAAGAATAGCTCAAGAGTTGGCGGTGGGTGGTGATGACTAGCTGCCTTCCCTCTAGTCTTACACTGCTAAATTAGGGACGGCTAGCGCAGATAGCCCTCGTGTAGCTTTGCGCGAAATTCAAAACAAACAAACTACCATCCATGCTAAGAAATTGACTGTCACTCTTGTACCGCATCCTCAGCTTCAAGTTTGGGGAATAATTTGTGGTATCGCATAGCTTTGAACCTGGATCGCCGGCTCTGAAATCCAGAGCTATACCACAGGACCTATCCCTCGCCCTCGTTACTTTTACAGTGCACCCACGATCCCAAGGTGCTGAACGCGTTTCTACGGCAATAAGCCGCGAACTATGAACCCTCAGATTCTTAGTCCAAGCACACCAACCATTAAGCAACTTTCGGTTCGAATTACAATTATATTGGGCATGAATATAAGAGATTATTTCATCAGAAGAATTATGAATCCTTTTCATCATTTAATGCAACCTGTTCGACATCAATCACAATTACCTAGTTCGTAGAAATATATTCCTTCATGGAATCTTCAGGTAAGCTTTTACAGTGAGTAGTCTGTATAAATTTTTAGTGTGTTTAAGAGATAAAATCACTTTAATTAAGTTGTTTTTTGTTTTTTTGGTCAAAATTTGGTTTGTAATATCTTTAAATAGTTATTCAGTATATTTTAAATAAACGTTCGCATTTGAGGAGCGGGTAAAAAGTGGAAGAATATATTCTCTTTTAATTTACTTTTCTGGGCTCTTCAAATTTTTTTAAAATAAACTTTACTAATTATTATTTCAGGGTATTGGCACTTTTTCAGTCAATAATATTCTAATTTTTTTTCTCTAAACACAGGGTTAAAGTTCAAAGCATAAAATATTTCAGCTAAATTACAAGGTGCTGAACTATCCATGTTCTTTATACAACACCCAAAAATGGGGATAGTTACTTCACAGGATTCATACCATTGATTAGTTAATAGAAATAATCAAAATTATGTAAAAGATTTCAAATTACAAAACTTTAATCGAAAATACGTTTTCATATAAGTTTTAAATAGATAACGTGATCGGTATTTAAAAGGTGTTGAATAGATCGAATATTTTATTCTCAAAGAAACCCATTACAAATTTCGCGTGTGTGGCGGCTACCAGGAGTTACATTACGGAAGGATTTATGGTTCGTGGTTCTACTGGTGAGACACCTTTGTGTAATTAATGTTCAACATAACTGTAATTCCAAACCTGTTTTATAGTACCTAAGTATGTGACATGTCATGAGGTATATTAAGTATGAACTTAGATGAATGTCATTCACATAGTCCAACAGTTAACTTTCTTCAAGCAAATAGACATTTTCATGAAGGTAGTAAACACATTTGTTAAATTGAGATAATCTCTTTTTTTCAATGATGTCCATTTTGGATCTACAAGGAAAACGTCGTTTTACGAAAAGTGTTTCATTGAACATTATAGAGATAAATAATGAATATTTTATTAAAATATAGAGAGTGTGATTTAATAAATTATATGAATTTGAAAGCAAATTTAAATTTAAGACTTTTTAACGCGTTTTAAGTATACAGTAGCAATTGTTTTCTGTAAAGTGACAGTTATTTTTAGATAGAAAGAAACAGAAATTAATTAATTTAGGAACTCTTTATTAATCAGGTAGTTATGACTTTCAGCCATTTCCTAGGGTTATCAACCATAGATTCCTCTGCTGCATGTGGGTTGTTTAATTGAAACTCATCATCATGTACTGGTTTTTCTGTTTCATCGTTGGCTTATTCTTCTTTTACTTTTTTTTTTAGTCGTTTCTGCCCCTGATGGATTTTTTCATTTTTGGTTTTAATCATATTTGTTTGTTTGCTTTTGTTGTTGTTTGTTAGGACATAGGCAGGAACACAACTTTTTTTTCTGAAAAACAATAGCAAATTTTTGATATATACTTCTAATGACTTAACCTTAAACATCAAGAGTGTCTGAAAAGAAAAAAATTATTTTATTTGTAAAACATTGGCATTTTCGAAACAAAACGACATTGGTTCGATTTGGTACCATAAATATGTTTCAATACAATTTTTTTTAAATCTCATATAAATATTCTAAATTAAAGCTCGGCATGGCCAGGTGGTGAGGGCGCTTGACTCGCAATTTTAGGGTCGCAGGTTCCAATCCACGTTCACCAAAGATGCTCGCCCTTTAAGCCGTGGGTTCGTTATAAAGTTGCGGTAAATTCCACTGTTTGTTTATAAAAGAGTATCCCAAGAGTTGGCGGTGGGTAGCGATGACTAGCTGCCTTCCCTCTAGTCTTTCACTGCTAAATTAGGAACGGATAGCGCAGATAGCCCTCGTGTAGCTTTGCGCCAAATTCGAAACCAAACAAACAATCTAATGTAAAACAGGGTTCCAAAGACACTGACAGCGATATTCGATTAGTGCGTGCATAATACTCGATTAGTGCGGTAACACACATT